CTGAGCCGTTGCTAATGTGGGTGGGTGACTTTCGATCTCTATCTGTGCCACCGCAGCACCTGGTCTGAGATCAGGGCCCATCGTCCCTGGCTGTGCTGGGCACTGTACATACGGTGAGAGACAGTCTCTGTATGGAAGAACTTTACAATCTCAGTAGACAAAGAGAAAACAGACACGGAGAGGTGAAGTGATTTGACTAGGGTCATACAGCAATTCAGTGGCAGAGCAAATATGAAACAGTAAGCATCCAGATCCAGGCTGAGAGAAGTGTGAAGTCGGATTCTCTGTGTTCTCCAGGCAAAGTGTGCTTACACACACCACACGAGGGGTCACACACACACATGCACCAAGACCACTCTCCTTGTGTGCACAATGGGCTCTTCCAACCCACCCCAAATTACCCCAAATTACCCCAGCTTCTTCTACATTCTACATTGAAGCTATGACAATGAATGAAACAATTATGGTTCCACATTCTCCTAGCAGCCCAGTATTTAAGGATTTCTATGTGAGTTGGAAAGCTGGTCTCTTTTCACCCACAGTAGCAGGTCCAATAAAAACTGTGACTTCACCCATCTTGCCTCTCTAATATCCTACAGCCAACAGGGCCACAACACCGCTGCACACAGCATGGGACGGGTGTTCAGCCCAGGTGTGTGACGATGAACTGGCCTTATGGTTACTCATTACCAGACCGGTGCTTAAAAGTTATTTTGCAACCAAGAGGGAAACTGAAGAGGACCCCACCTTCCCCACGACTCTCGCCTCCCCACCACCCACTCGTGTGAGCTAAAATGCTTAAGCAGCGCAAATGTGACACTGACTAATCTGAGGCCCATTCCATTGAACAAGGAGCGGCCAGTAAACGCCAGGGGCCCAGTTTCTCAAGTCCATGTAGCTTTCGGTGTTTAAGCTGCACTCGGTGAGCACCCGGAGGTGAGGCAGGCTTAGGAGAGCAGTGCAGCCTAAAGGTTAGAGCCAGGGACTGGGAATCAGGACTTTGGGATTCTATTTGTGTTCCTACCACAAACTCATTATGTAACGTTAGGCACGTCCAAGCCTGCCGATAGGAGAGGAGGGGCAAGGGGGCAGGTGCCCCGGGGCCCAGAGATTCAAAAGGGCCCCAGGAGCCAGCAGCCGCCACTACTGCCATCAGCCTCACCCCTTCCATCTGATGGCCCATCCCTTCTGGGAGCACAGAGTCTCCCCACCGACACACACACACACACATCTTGCCCAGGAGCCCAGCAAGTCTGCCGCCCTCCCCGGGCATATCACTTAATTTCTGTGGATCTCTTTTGTCACCTGTTGTGACGGCGCATCAGGGTTCCCCCGATCCTGCACCCCCGTACCAGCAAGAACAGACTCCGCCAGCCAGTCGACTAGAGGGGTTTACTGCTTCTCCAGGACACAGCACAGCATAGACGTGATGTGGTTACAGGAGTCAGGGCTCGGATGCCTCAGACCCCTGGGGGTAGGGGATCCATCGCCCCCTCAATCCTCAGCACCCAGTTTAGTCTGTTCCCTTCATGTTTTCTACCCAGAAAACTGCCCCCCCCCCTCAAGTGTTCATCTCCGCCTCCCTTCGTCTCTCCCCCGGGAAGAGCAGTGTTATCTGCTCATGCTGGGACGAGGTGTCTGGGCCAATACACATGTGGGTGAGTCAATGGGAACCACACATCACAGCGCAGAGCAGAGCAGACAGCACCCCCACTACGTCACACCTATGTAGTGAAGAGAACACTTACCTGCCTCGCCGCAGTCCTGGAAGCCTAAAATCTGACACCGAGACATTTGCAAGACTGGATCGGTCCGTCCAGCCCACTAGACTACCTCCAACGGTTCGAGCTGCAGCTGAAGTCCAAGACCTCCTGCAGCAGTTACAGGATACAAACAACTGCCTCGGAAAGTTGCTTTGTGACCCCAAATAATCAGAAGCTGCCGTAAGTCCTGAAGCTGTGGAGTTTCAATTTGTCCAAAACTCTTGGGCTGTGTCTACACTGGCCACTTATTCCGGAAAATCAGCCGCTTTTCCAGAATAACTTGCCAGCTGTCTACACTGGCCCCTTGAATTTCCGGAAAAGCACTGATGAGCTAATGTAAAATCGTCAGTGTTTTTCCGGAAAAACTATGCTGCTCCCATTCGGGCAAAAGTCCTTTTCCGGAAAACTGTTCCGGAAAAGGGCCAGTGTAGACAGCACAGATTTCTTTTCCGCAAAAAAGCCCCGATCGCGAAAATGATGATCGGGGCTTTTTTGCGGAAAAGCGCGTCTAGATTGGCCACGGACGCTTTTCCGCAAAAAGTGCTTTTCCAGAAAAGCATCCTGCCAATGTAGACGCACTTTTTCCGAAAATGCTTATAACAGAAAAGTTTTCCGTTATAAGCATTTCCGGAAAAGGGTACCAGTGTAGACGTAGCCTTAGATTTTTTTTTTTCATCTTTTCTTTGTTACACTCTTACGTGCTTTAAGCTCTGCAGGGCGGTATATTGAAAATGGCGAAGACATTACAAATTCTCCCCTTAAGTACACAGGGTGGGCCGGGGGATTCTGGCTCCTGCTTTGCAGGCTTTCTAGAGAAGCTGGCAAATCTAGAGTTAACAGCAGTGAGACAGGAAGAGGAGGACAAGCAGTGCCTCTCTTGTTTTTGGGAGCAGCCTGTATTCTCTCCCTTTGATTTGGGGTTATTGTGTGTTATGGTTCCAATTTCCAAGAGACAAAATGCTGCTGTTTAGATTGACAGCTTCTCTGCTTGTATGACATGAACATAACAGTCAGATGGAGGGCACTTTATACATTGAAAGACAAAACTCCCTACAGCTCGGTCCAGCCCCATTCCCTACCCCGTGTGAAATAAAGTGTGAGCCAGGCGGCTGAAAGCTACACCACTAAAGGATTTTAAGCGCTGCAGCTGCCTCCAGGCAAATACTTGCATCCCTGAGAGAGGGCACTTCTGGCCTAGGTGTGTGTGCTCAGACTCCTGTGGGGAATGGCTGGCACAGTGTATTAGCTTGAGAGGGGATTTCGGACCGCACCTCTGTAGCTAATCTCCCCAGAGCATGTCGTAGGCTCAGCAAAACTACCCACTTCTATCACGTAGGAATGAGGACTGGTTAATGAACAGCCCAGGAGGCAAGACCCCTTTTAACCTGCAAGCGAGCAAGGAGAGTGCCAGCACGGGTCCTGTCAGAAACTCCCACAGAAGTCTTCTCTCCAGTCATCTAGAGGGGAATTGGGCCCAGCTTTAGGGATATTCACATTAGCAACAAGAGAACCCATTCAGGGTGGGCCGGGAAATAAGGCTGAGACCTGCAGGGCTCTGAGGGGCCATAAACAAGCCATTTGCACTCTGTGCCTCAGCTTCCCCATCTGTAAAACTATGGTAATGCCATTTAACTCTTTTGTAAAAGACCGATAGCTTTCCCATCTAAGTATCATTGTTCAATAAAAACAGAATTCCCTCCCCTCTCAGAAACTTTTCACCAGCAGGTTTCCTACCAAACAGGTCCTCTTAAGCTTTAGAAAGCTTTGTTAATTTATTATTCACTTTCCTTCCTGGGTGTGTAATGCTGGCAAGGTGGAACAGAACCTGGGACCTCTGGAGCTTAGTGCTTATGTTGCTATACTAGCCTGAATTGAAAGTCAGCTGCCATGCAGCTAAGGCTGGGGAGCAAACTTACTCTTGCTATAAGTGGTCTAAGTGCCATTCCCCATTGGTGACCCCCATCCAGTAGGTGGGTGGGTTACATGAGCAGAGAGCTCTGACAACCAGAATGGAAATAACAGAGGCCCATTATTTGTGAGAGCAGGAAAACGCACCAAACTAAAGTGGGTCAATATAGTACTTCAATATAGTCCCTGTGCAGGGTGGGTCAGGCTGAAGTAACATCAAACTTTCCCCAGTTTAGTTCTTGTGTCAAACCACAACCTGGCAGACCTCACCCAGCAGCTGAAGGGATTCCCTCACAGTAGCCCCTAGATGCTCCAACAGAAATCAGGGCCACATTATGCTAGGTCAATAGCAAAATGCAATCCCTGCCCCACCGAGCTTATAGTAGAACTAGGTGTAACCACCACGAGGAAGATTTGAACCTGGGGACCTCAGTAGGGTTGCCAGATACTTTCATAAAAAATACCAAACATAGCAGGAAAAGAATTGGTTGAGAAAAAACAAACAAAAAAACAAACGAGGGACCAAAGTTGAGCACAAAAAAAACCAAAAACCACTGCGCCTTTAAATCCCCTCCCCCCTAAGGCACAGAAGGGGAAGAATGTTACAAGTGGCCTTCTGTCTGAGAAAAACAGAGAATACCAGCCATTTTACATGTCTGATATTTTTTACCAGACAGATTGTCCAGGCCAATACTGGACACCTGGCAACCCTAGACCTCACTGTGGGAGCCTCTACAGCTTGAGCTATGAAGCCAGTTGAGATCCTGAATGAAGCATCACTTGTTAACTATCACCAGGCACATTTCAACCTGGATCCTCTGGAGCTTAGTATAGGCACTGCTACTGCTTGAGTTAATAAAGCCACCTGGCTTTACCACTCAAGTAATAGAAGCACACCTGGTAGCGGTTACAAAGACAAAGTGTGGGCAAAAGACTGGAGTATTAGCCCCATTTCATTGATGGGTAAATGGAGGCCTAGAGCTACAAAGGCTCCTAACTTTCACATCAGCAAGTGAAATAGCTTGCCCAGAGAAACTAAGGCCCGGGTTCACAAAGGTATGTTGGGGGGTTTTGAGACTGAGGGGGGAAACTAAGAACAGTTTTCAAAGTCATAAAAGGGCGTTACAAGGAGGAGGGAGAACAATTGTTCTCCTTGACCCATGAGGATAGGACAAGAAGCAATGGGCTTAAATTGCAGCAAGGTTGGACACCAGTGTTCCCTGTAAGCTGAACACTTGGGCGGCTACCCAGGAGAGATTCCAGTGCTGCCCAGCAGAGCACCCACAGTTGGCAGTATATGCTTGTACAAGTGGTGCACATCCACCCATGCCTCAGTGCACATAACATTTATTCCACACATGGACTGGAAAAAACATGAGAGAGAACATTGCCAGACAGTAGAAAAAACTTCCTGTCTGGATGGTTAAACACAGGAGTAAATTTCCCAAGGAGGTTGTAGAATCTCCGTCACTGGAAATATTTAAGAGCAGGTCTAGACAAACACCTGTCAGGGACTAACACTCAGTCCTGCCTAGAGAGCAAGGGACTGGACGAGATGACCTCTCAAGGTTCTGTCCTGTCCTATGGTTTTATGATTTAGATGCCTAACTCCCACAGGACAGCCTTTGAGTATCTGGGCTTAGTGACATGACCAAGGTTACCCAAGGATTCTGAGTCAGAGCCAGGAACTGCACCTTGATTTCCTGTGCCTCAATCCAGCACCCTAGCCACAAAACCCATTGTTCTCTGCCTCAGATCCAAATCCAACTGTCCTTGCTTGCTCAAACCTTTCACAAAGACTGGGTTGGGCCTGTAGGCTAGTCAGGACTGTGAGAGACACACCAGCACCGGGGATCTAATGCTTGCCTTCCTCGTGGCAACTTATGCTGGTTGTACCTCCTGCCTGTTGCTGGGAACAATGTCCTTTTTCACAGCCGGAGGTGCTTTCCTGTTCACAGTGTTCTTTTAAGTCTCTACGAAGCTGGTTTGTGCCTTGTAATTCATACCATCGTAGTAAAGAATCATTTTCTTTATTGCTACAAGGAAAATATGTTCACAGGGGGAGATTTTGGACCTGGCCAAGTCAACCAATTGGCTTCTTTGTTCATAAAGGGACATCAAAAGGGAAAGCCACCCGTACAAGGCTGCCCGCTTTGGCCACCAATAAATAACTGGCTCTGGAGAGAATGGGTGTAGAAGACTTTAGCTTATTGGAACATAACAAAAGGCTGTTGCACTGCACAGGCGCTTAGCAGCAATGCTGTTACACCAGGCCAGGGCGAAGAAGAGATGTCAGAGGGGGTGTTCTTTGAGGCAAAGAGAAGGAGGTTTCTGTACACAGAGGGCAGCACTGGTATCTAGGAGTCGCAGGCTGCTTCCTGCATCCCTCAGGGATGGAAGGAGGGGAGAAATCAGAGCCTTTATATCTCCCTCGGTATTGGTTCTAGCACTGATCCATTGGGTGTGAGGGCCTGCCCATGCTGACAGGGAAGGAGGTGGGAGAAGGAGAAAGGAGGCAGCTGTGGCTGTTGTTTCTCCCTCCCCTGCCCTTTTTGGGGATGCTGGGGGCCTACACAGCGGTGTGGCCACAAAGCCACTTGAATTTGACCAGACCCCCCCTCTCTGGACAGAGGGAGGGGGCAGCGTGGCCCAGTGTCAACAAGCGTTGTGGCACCCTCGCGCACAGGACCACAATGGCACTCAACTCTGGTGGAGGCACAGCCGGGCCAAACAATGCTGGGCCGTGGCGCACGGGGCGTCTTTCCCTCTACAGTGGAGAGCAGAGGAGCCCGCTAAGAACTTGACTTCTGCTGGCAGCGGCTCATGCCCTGTGTACGTAGCAGCAAAGGGAGATTCTCCAGTCAAGGGAGAGGCAGGGTTCATGAGGGTAGGAGTGGGGATGCCGGGGAATTGAAACTGCCCCCCACCACCCTAGAAATATCTGAATTGTTGCCACTGGCCGATGCGGGAGTTTATCCATCTGCCCTGGCAAGCAGCAGGTTTCACATGAGTTCGGCGGTGGCGTTGTCTCAGGCAAGAAAAATTGTCCTCCTGGAGGAAGCAAATTGTCTGGCTACGGTGATCCTTCTGGGGAGCAGTCTTCATCTTCCGGAGTGTGGGTGAATCCAAGCGGGCTGACTCCCCGCTAGCGAGCTGACCACAGCACGGGGGTGCCAAGTTAGAATGGGAGAGGGGTGAAGAAAGATGGCAAGAAGCCGGCGATCCTCAAAGGCAGCTCTTACATCTGAGTAGTGACGACTTTCCCCTCGTACTCAATGACATTTTCATAGGCGTGCTGGGCGTCTTTGGACCTGAAACGTTACAGGGAAGCTGCTTACTGTTACATTCACAGCTTGCACACAGAGACGTAAATAAAAACAAATACTCTTGCTGAAAGGCGGTGATGGAACTTGACTTCACTGCTTAGAATTCCAAACAAGAAACACACAGGAACCCAAAACCAGGGAGAGAGAAAACAGGCTGCTCCCATAAAAGGCGAATGGCATATGAGGGTGCATTCGGAGGAGCACTGCCGGCAGATCCAGAGAAGTGATTATGCCCCTTTATTCGGCTCTGGTGAGGCCACATCTGGAATATTGTGTCCAGTTCTGGGCCCCCCACTACAGAAAGGATGTGGACGCATTGGAGAGGGTGCAGCGGAGGGCGACCAAATAGATTAGGGGGTTGGAGTGCATGACCTATGAGGAGAGACTGAAGGATTTGGGTTTGTTGAGTCTGCAGAAGAGAAGAGTGACGGGGGAGAAGTAGTTTAGTCTGCAGAAGAGAAGAGTGAGGGGGGAAAAGTGTGAGGGGCCATAGGCTATAGACCTCCTCTCCCCAGGATGGGTTGTACTGACGGGTTCTGGTTTCTGTACTGACAAGACTGTTCTACGCTGTGTCCCTGTGGACTAATAAACCTTCTGGTCCAGCTGCTGGCTGACAGCCCCATCTGGCTGTGGATGAGGGTGCAGGGCTCGGTGACTCCCCCACAACTCGGTGACACTAACCCTTTCTCCCCATCAGCCAAACAGAAAGTAACAGTGGCAGCCTGGGACCCTGTATTTCAGTAAGACACTGCCTCCCTCCCCAACCCCTACCACTACCCCAGCCTGCTACCTAGCTCCACTCCCTGGGATAGGCTGATAGCCTCCACCTCTTTACTGTTGGGAGAATCCCAGTGGTTTGGGGAGAGCAGAGGGGGAGACTCAGCAGCTGTGCATACCCCCATGAAATTCCAATATCTGCCAAGGACACTAAATTAATAAGAAATTAATAAGAAATCATTAATTTAAAATTAATTATGGGAAGTAATAACTTAATAATTAATAAGGAATTAACAAGAAATGTACAACACTTATGTTTTTTTCAAGGCTGCAACTGTGTGTCATAGGACCTGTACTGCTAACAACTGAGACTCAAGTGGCAGCTTCTGGAATTCTGCAGAGGGGTAAGACCCTGAATCAGGGCTTTCGTGGTACGTCTAGATTCGGTATCATGGAAAAGCGCTGCCATGTCCAAGAAAAGCATCTGCTTTTTCGAAAAAAAAATCCGAAAAGCAGACACATTTTTTCGGCATCCCTGTAAACCTCGTTTACGAGGAAGAAGGGATGTTCTGAAAGAGGGTTTTTTTCCGACATTTGGCCCAGTGTAGACGGGCTGATAATTGGAAAAGCCTCCTTCGGAAGAAAAGTGGAAAAAGGTAGGCAAATTGCGATTCACAATTTGCGTATCTTTTTCCGATGGAACTTTGTGGTCTAGACACTGCCTCAGACGGAGTAAGGCACATTCACAGCAGCATTTTAGGATCTAGTGAAAATATCTGGACTAATGTCTACACGGCTGCCGCCATCAGTGAGGCAAATCAGTTTGATTTTTTTTTAAATCCTTTTTTGTTGCCATAAACTGTGAAGGACAGAGGGGCGACCCCTCCCGACCTTTTAAGGTCTGTCCCCTGAGCCGGTGTTAGGGGTGGGCGAGCTGTGTGGTTGCCCCGGGCTGTCCATTTTCAAGGGACTGCTGACAGCCGGTCGTAGGGACAAGCTGTGACCGCATTTCAGACCAACCTCCCGAATCCTCCCCCCAGGTTTCCCTGGTTACTCCCTGACCCCCTTTTTTTTTTCATTGACAAATTTTGGTCCGGTATTATTTTTAAACCATCTGGAAACCCTATGGGCAAGCTGGGCGGTCGCCTGGGGCCGCCAATTGATTAGGAACGGCCTTGCTGACAGGCTCCCTGGTTTTTGGAGGGCAGATTTGGGCCTCCACACCCTTAGAGGATGAAAATGGCCAGAGGAAAAATTATTCCAGTGCAGGCATACAGTAGAACTGAGGCTGATAAGGGGAGCGGGGAGGAGAGCCCCCAAATAATTTGCAACTGGGCTGTAATAGGAGTGGGGCCCTATAAGCATGATGCACTAGGGCCAGGAGCACCGATGAGGGGCAGGGATAAAGGGAGCAACTGACTCCGGGACCCAGACAATTCAAAAGAGCTTGGAACCTAGGCTCTTTAAAATGCTGTCAGAGTCGTGCACATTCCAGGCAGTGCTGAGAGCTGGCGGGGGTGTGTATGGGGGGCGCGCCACGGTCCGGGTGGCCCTGAGGGCTGGCTGAAGCCCCTTTTGCTCTTGACCCCCCTTTCTGGGGGGAATGCAGCAACATCCCCCTCAGCCCCACCTTGCCCAGGGGCCCAGTGAGGCTGCTGGCTCCCCTGACCAGAGCTCTGAATTTTACCTCAGCAATCTGAGAGCCACCAGAAGCAACCCTGCACTGTCCCTTTCCCCCATGACTTAGCATAGGACATGTCCTGGGAGCAGAGGGCAGGATGAAGGGCAGGTCTAGGCCAGAGAGAAGGGGCTGCTCTAATTTACACTGGAGCTTATTTTGGTCACCGGTGTCCAGATGCTGAATGGCCCAACGGTAACATAAACCCGTTTCTGTCACCCTCTTGGCATAGCCCAGAAAGGGACCCTCGCCGGACGAGCTCAGAAGCTCTTGAATGCCTGACTCACCTGAAGTCAGCGGTTGTGATCGAATACCTCCCCTCAGTCCCGTTGGATGCCACAGACTCTTCCTTCTTGTTCCTGCTGGTGACCACCGACTCGATGTTTTCCCTACCAAAAGAAGCACATTTGAAAGAATTCAGAGAGAACCATGGAAGGGCAGCCGGCTGGATTGTATTTGTGCCGCTTCGGCTGACACCCAAGTGAGCAACCGAGTTATGGATCAAATGATTTCACACGCTGAAAAGCTCAGGTATGGTTTGAACGATAATCCACATCTTAACACCTTGAATTATCAAGCCAGGGAGAAAGAGACAAGGGAGGTGTGCTAATAGCTTTGATTAGAGCAAGCTTTTGAGCTTCACAGAGCTGGAGAAGGTAACCAGATGGTCCAAGCTAAATACACGAACCTCTTCAGCAGG